AATACTTCAGTACATTAAAGTTTGTCTCTTTTTTTAGTAATCGAATGCAAAATGTATCAAAGTGTTCAACAGACTAACTTGTTGAAAAATTTTTCTTACAATGCTAGACCAACTGGACAAGTATCCGAACGAGTACCTGGTCAGTACCTATATTAAAACTGACGAGGAAGTATTTTCAAGTATCAATTCGTTTTTAAGTCGAGACTATGTGCATTATATGGGTTCTAATGATTTATAAATACCCTGAAAAGAGTTTGGGTTATTAGCTTATTGTTGTCGAGATCTTGGCATTTTTAATGCAAAATTGTGACTCCTCTAAGAATCATCAGGAAAACTGAGTTTTGAATTTCGACTTGAAACTTTGTACAGAGATAGGTCTTAATCAGAATAGTTGATTGTTAAAGTTTCAGATTTTTTTGATTGTTTGTATTCTGAAATAAGAACATTGGTATCTATCGGTGTCTATGAACGATATAAAAAAAAATCGTATTTTTTACCATAGTTGTATCTTTGAATAGAAAAAATAAAATGATCTGAAACTTTTAGCAATAAACTATTCTTATTAAAATCTGTCTCTGTGGAAAATTTCAAGTCAAAATTCGAAAATGAGATTAAGCTAAGACTCCAAAGTATTCACAAATAATGCTCATTGTTCCAATTCAAAGCTATTTGACAATAAACAGCATTGATCCATTCGATAAAAACTATATTGATATATTTTCATTTGTTAAAAAGATATTCATTTTTATATATTAAAAAAAAAATGACAATTTTTTTTTGTAATTAGCTTTCTTATTCAAATTGAATAAATCTCTTATAACGACATCTTTTGATCATTCTATGATTGATGGGTTTGTATCAGCCAATTAATTAAAGTTGTTTATTTGTTCTTTATAATGATTCACAAAATTTCATGACTTCAGATTTCTTTTTTATTGCAGTTTCTTTTCTTTATTTTTTCAAATCAAGGTCTTTTTTTAGTTTTAGATCTTATTCCATTTCAAAAATATCATGGTTGAATTAAATGATGTTGAAATGAAAGAAGTCGATTCAACACCTAATTCAAATATACCAAATACAACAGCGACATCAAAAGATGAAAAAAAAGACGCTGATACATTAACATTGGATGGTTAATAATATTTTTCAATTAATTTCATAAAAAATATAAAAAATAAACACATTTCTTATTATGTAAACTAGATATTAAAGAACAAGTTCGCGCAATTGAAAAAGCTGTTAATTCCAAAGAACCTCGATATATATTTCGTGTATTACGTGCACTTGCATCAACACGAAAACGTCTTAATGAAGATGTTATTCGTCGTCTTATTTGTTTTTATTATGGATCGAATTCAAATGAACGTGAAATTCTTCTTGGTTTTATTCAAGGAATTTCTCAGGTTTATTTAATGACAAAAAATATATATATATATCAAAAGATTGTTTTTTTTTCTTAAATTCTTTTAGCCAATGGATGTTGATACAGGAAAAACAAGTACAACTAATGAAAAACAATTAATATCTCGTCCACAAACATCAAGAGCACGTGCAGTTGCATTACCAGAAGTCGATTTATATATTCATTTAATTGTACTTCTTCATTTAATTGATCGAAATTTATTAAAACCTGTATGAATTTTTAATTTAATTATAAAAAAAAATACAAGAAAATTATTTTGTATTTTTTTAAGTCTCTTGATTGTGCTAAACGACTTGTTGATAAAACAAGTATACTTAATCGTCGAACATTAGATTTAATTGCAGCAAAATGTTATTTTTATTATGCACGTATATTTGAATTAAATAATATGCTTGATACAATTCGACCGTAATATTAAATAAATTGAACTTCTTGTTTGTTTGTTTTTTAATTATTAAAAATCTTTTTTTATTTAGATTTTTACATAGTCGTTTACGTACAGCAACATTACGTAATGATTTTGAAGGAACAGCTGTATTAATTAATTTATTATTAAGAAATTATCTTCATTATAACTTATATAGTCAAGCACAAAAGCTTGTACTTAAATCAGTTTTTCCTGATCATGCATCAAATAATGAATGGGCAAGATATCTTTATTATCTTGGTAAATATTTTATATTTAAATATAGAATTTAGAAAAAAAAGCGTATATATGATTTTTATAGGTCGTATACGTGCTATGCAATTAGAATATACCAAAGCTCATCAACATTTATTAACAGCTACACGAAAAGCTCCACAACAAACAGCGATTGGTTTCCGACAGAATGTAAATAATTGAGAATTTCAAAAAAAGAAAAGTAAAGACGATATACATAACAATCTTCTTTCTTAGGCTTATAAATTTCTTATTACTGTTGAATTACTCCTTGGAGATATTCCAGATAAAGCAACATTTAAAAATCCTCAACTTAAACGTTCATTAGATCCCTATTATCAGTTAACATTAGGTAAGAAAAAATATTATAAATTTGATTTATTTAAACAGATATATTTGTGTTTTAGCTGTACGTGCTGGTAATTTAAGTCGATTTAAAGAAGTTCTTGATACATTTTCTGATCGTTTTCAACAAGAAAAAACTTGGTCACTTATTATTCGGTTTGTTAAAATTTAGTTTTTTTCTTCTTTTAAAAGAAAAATAATTTCGAATATTATAGATTACGACATAATGTTATTAAAACAGGAATTAAAATGATTAGTTTATCATATGCAAAAATATCTTTTAGCGATGTTGCTCAAAAATTACAACTTGATTCACCAGAAGATGCTGAATATATCGTAGCTAAAGTAAGTTTTGCATTCAAAACAAAGATCAATAATATACAGAAGAGTATGTTAACTATAGTAGTTAATGAATGCAATATGAGGTCATAGTTTAGTTAATTATGAGAGATATAAGTCATCGATTGGCTGAACTATCGAAAGTTGAAGATCAGTTTTTGAGAATGTTTCTGTTTGATTTTACACTAGTCAGTTCTATATCTTTTCCATTTCGAAGTCTCTCGAGACCAAGAAAATTCGAAAAAAAAGACTTATTGGAAATTTTCAATTGTCGTCGCCAATCAATATATCGGCTTACGCCTCTAAAATGACAAGTGATGATAAAACTATTTTTTTGCCCACGATGCTTTTTGAAAAGAAGTACATATTCTGATTGAGTGTTAAATTCTGAGTAAGATGAAATACTTTTTTTGTACCTGTGGAGGGCCTCAGAACCATCAAAAAAAAAAACTTTTCATTTCATCGAATCAAGTATTATTAGATGCTGACTCCGAATTTTGGGTTAATATTCAAAAAAAAAACTGAATTTTGATAGAGAAAAATTCAAATTTCAATACGATGCTGAAGAAAGCCTATTTTCATTTACTGTCCTGAGGCGATCGAGTAATGCCATTAGAGAGTCTAAAACACATACGCGATATGGGTAAAATCACTATCGAGTACACTTAAGTAAATTAAATAACTAAAGATTATATTATTTCGTAGCCAAAGCATCTATTGCGGTCTATTATTGAAGTATATGCCACATTTTTTTTCTTGTTTTCAAGATCATATTCAGAAAGAGCATGAAAAATTACATCGATCTGTATATATCATCTGTTGGTTAGAGATTTTGTTAGTCTAATCAATAGCACTCATGGAGTCCAAAATCTGTTTTTTTTCTTGGATTTTTGAGTATTTGGCTCCACAACTATCGAGAATTTAGTCTTAAAGACTTTTCTAATATGTTTCCGATTTAGAAAGGAATAGCGCACATCATCATGCGTGTTTTGGACTCTCTAATGGCATTACTTAGTCACGTAAGGACAGTAAATGAAAATAGGCTTCTCACAGCATCGTATTGAATTTTGAATTTTTCACTATCGAAATTCAGTTTTTTTTTTAACATTAACCCGAAATTCGGAATCAGCATCTAATGATACTTGATTTGATAAAATTTGAAAAAAAATTTTTTTTTTGATAGTCCTGAAGTCCTTCACAGGATAGGTAAAAAATATAAACCTCATCTTATTCAGAACTTAATGCTGAATCAGAATATGTACTTCTTTTCCAAAAGTATCGTTGGGCAAAAACATACTTTTATCGTTACTTATCCTTTGGTCCTGAAAACTAAACTGAGTATCAAAATTTGAAACGTTAAGTAATCATATTTTGACGACATTTTGTTTCAGTGAAGAAAAGATAGTGATTTTTGCAGATGTAGTAAACATCCAATGATTTCATTGAGGTCAATGCAAAAGTCATATTATGTTTCACAAAGTTCAATATTAACTATTTCGAAATAGAAGGAAACCAATAAGTCTGTTGTATATATCCACAGAAGGTTTCAATACATTATTATATATTTTCCCGATAGAACTCAGAAATATAACTTTGAAAAAGTTATAATTTGATCAGTTCACGTTTAGGTGTAGAGTGTGGCAAATCAATGCATCATTTGATTTTAATTTATATTCACTATTTTATTCTATAGGCTATCCGTGATGGTGTTATTGAAGCAAGTATAAATCATGAAGAAGGTTATGTACAATCACGTGAAATTACTGATGTTTATACAACACGTGAACCAATGAATGCATTTCATCAACGTATTGAATTTTGTCTTAAAGTTCATAATGAAGCTGTTAAAGCTATGCGTTATCCACCAAAAAAATATCATGAAGAATTAGAAACAGCTCAAGTAAATTGCAAATTTTTTTGTTTTAATTAAAATTTTGTTTCGCTTTTGTTTTTTGAACAAAGGAACGACGTGAACGTGAACAAGAAGAATTAGAATATGCAAAAGAAATGGCTGATGATGAGGATGATTTTTAAAACTTAGTCCGTTTAACGGAATACTAACCCCCCAAAAGAAACAAATAATAGACATGATTTTATTATATTTTTTTTTCTCTCCTGTTTTTCCTCATTCATTTTAATAAAATTGAAATTCTCGCAGATTATCTTTTTTGTTTTTTTATTTCAGATGTTGACTATGCTGAAGACTTTCCTTCAGTATATACTTTCAAGATGATGTTCTTTCGTAGACATGCTCAAAAACCTATACCAACACATAATAGTATAGTTGCTACACCTATTCCAATAGCCCTTGATAAAATAAAAATAATTGAAGATGAAACTGAATCAACTGAGAATGAATTATCAACAACACCTACTGCTTTATCACCGATCGAGAAGACGGTTACTTTTTCTAATGAAATAGATTTAACAACAACACCAACACCAACAACAACATCTACAACAGAACATCTATCAATAAAACATCCTGGTCTTTTACGTTTATTTGATTCAACTGTATGTACAGTATCAATTGTTATATCATATTTATTTAGTACAAAAGAACCTATGGTACAAGAATTTCTTGGAAGAAAATTATTTGATTATCCTAATGATGAACTTGATTTTTATTTACCACAATTAATTAATATGTATATACATATACCATCAATTTCTAATGTTATACATATTTATATAACAACAAGGTAAATGAAAATTAATGATTTATAGAGTAATCGAAAAAACAAAAAAACTTACTCCCTTATGAAATACAATTTGTGAACTCATAACATTCATTTTGTTTTTTGAATCGATTCCTTTTGTTATAGATAGATATGAGGAAAAAAAAAGATAAAAATGTCGTTCTTTTGTAAAAATTCAATAGTTCGATAATGAAACAATGTGATTATTTGAATTTTTCAACCTATATTTCTAGATATTTGTAGGTTAAGTATGCCTATAAATTATTGCCAGCTTGCTAATATTTTTTTGATAATATCTATCGTACTAATTCGCTTCTTTCGTCACTTGAGGATATATTGTTTGAGAACAAATTTCGTATTTAATAAATATATTATTTGTGTCTAGTTATGCTGAAATAATGTTTCGAACGAAAAATATTTATATCTAATTGATAGGTTTTTCTCTAATTGTATCTATTGCAGAAAGGGATAAGGTTTTTTTTTGTTGGAACTAATCTGTGGAATCGAAGTATGAATTAGATACAATAGCTCTTTAAACTTTGTTTTTTACTCAAAAAAAATATATCTATATGTATTGCCGATAAAAAGTAAATGAAACTATATATAGAGAAGTCTCCAGTAGAATTAAAACTCTTTTATAAAAACATGAAAAAGCACAAGAAATCGAACTCGGTAGGGAGTAGAGATATCATATCATAAATTCGAATTGAGGTATGCGTGGAAGATAAGCTTGACAATTTTTTAAATTTTCGAGCAAAAGCAACGAAAAGTTCTGCCAATTGTCGATCAGTTCAGATCGTAAGTTTATAACTATACAAAATATTCTTATTTCATTTTTACTCATATACTCAGGTCAAGAAATACGAGTTGCAAAAATGGTAGGAACTTGACAGTAGGTATTCAGTGGTCAACTCTGCCAGGAACTAGAAAACTCCAGACACTAGTATCATTGATCTGCATATCTATACTCGGTACATTCTTTTTATATAGCATTGATAGTTTAACGAAGAATTTAAACAATAATATGATAGTACTATAGTTATATAAACATTTCCATACCTTAAATAGACAGCTTTCTATGATGTCTACTAACATATAATTCATTGTATCAAGTGCAGAGAAAAACACAAAAGTTCAAGATGAAGTACCTACATTAGCTCTTGAAGAAAACTATTATCAAATAATTGAAAACAATAACTCATAGACTTAAATCGATTGTAAAATATGTTCAGTTAGATTCTTGTCATTGAAGTTAAATGTTTTTGTCTGAAAAGATCTGAAGCAAAAAAAGAAAAGAACAAAGACTCTCTTATTAATATAAAAATTTAATCTATTTTTAATTTAGATGTTCTCAAAGTGTTGATTTTTCTCTTCAATGTGCATGGTTACTTGATGCATATATAGCTGATCAAATGAAAGTAGCTAAAAAACCTAATGCAGCTGTTCGACTTTTATTTGATATATTATATGAAAAATATAAACCAAAAATATGTTATAAACCAACAATAATTAATAATTTAAGTAATAATCATCATCGACTTGATGAAGAAGAAAATGAGAATGTTATAAATCAAGATGATGATATCAAAACAGAACGTGCATTAAGTCAAGAAAATCTTATGTCATCAATGAATAAAAAACGAGGACATCAAAAATCTAGAAGTGATGTTTCAGGTATAATATCTTAAAACAAATATTATATATATATATTTTGTAACACTAATGAATAAAATATGACATGTAGGAATTGTATTTCCTCGCTATAGTAAGTTGTGTTGTTGAGAATTTGTTAGAAACTAACAAATGTTTGATAGTTAATTAACCAGAATTTGATGAATGTGTTTTAGAAAATTTGTTTTTTTTTTTATTTAATCTATTATTTATTTTTAAGAACGTTCATTACCAATTATGAATGGTGAAACAAGTAAACATCGTCGTCAACCAAGACTTTGTTTAGGCGATCTTAATTCAGGACGTGCTTTTGATAATAATTGCATGTGTTTTGAAAATGTCAATGGTTTTCGACGACGAGAATGTACATGCAATGTAAATATCTTTTTTTTTTAATATCAAAAGTAGCAATGTAATACATTATAGAAAAGAAAATTATGATGGATGGTGCCTTGTTTTGCTTCAAGTTTTTTAATCTGAAAGAACTACCCATTAAATTTTGCATTGTCTTTTATCTAATATATGACTAATTGTTGATATTTTTTTTAATTTGTAGCTGAAGCTTAATAGATGGTCTTTCATCATTCAAAAGATCGTGTAATTTACTGTAAGATTACTGTCTCTGGATATCGTTGAGGTTTTAGCATCAACACGATGATTATTGCCATTCCATTTTCATCTAGAAGAAAGTTTTTTTTTTTTGAAGACTTGTAGGCAATAATGTTCAGCTACAGGCAAAGCTTGTCGAAAACTCGATTGATTGAAGTTTTACTGAGTTAAAATCTACAAAGGAGATATCAGGAAGTTTCTCACCTCTCGAATAGTCACAGTAAAATAGCCATCATTCTAACAAAGGTTTATGGGCTTTGATGAAATAGTATGGATAGGTGGAACATAAACGTAAATAATGAGGAATTGATTGACTCATAAAATCTTTTTCTTTTCAGAACTATAAAGTTCAAAACAAAAATAAGTGCTATCCATTACCATTCATCATAATATCCGTTGTGTTTAAGTACTCGGAGCGTCATCGTGTGTAGAAAAAATTTCCTTAAACTTTCTATAATGTATAATAATGCTACTGTTCCTATTTTTGATATGATCTATGTATATTTTTCATTCTATTCTATATTTGAATAAAAATAGGCTCCAAAATTAGCTCCAGTTAGAGAATTTATGACAGCATTAATTAATATTGGAAAAAAGCTACCACATGTACCAACAAAAGAGAAAAAAAGTAAATAATTATAAATTATGAAAAAAAAAAAATAAAAAAATAAATTCAATTAAAAATTCTATTTATTTTAGCACAAAATTTAATTGGTGAAATGAAACGAATGAATATGAATTTACCAGCACGAGTTTGGATTCCATTTTATAAATTTCCACATCATGTCGTTCGAATAGCATATACGGAAGCAACTGTATTAAACTCTCGAGATCGCGTATGTATCAAATAAAAGAAAGATAGAGGGTCACACCCCCCTCCCCTGCTTACGACTCAGGTTAATGATTCTGGCGCTCGAATCCGTGAGAGTTTTCGGCCCGTATTTCTTGACTTGAGAATACTTTTATAGTCTTTTTAAAGAATAAGAAAAAAAAGCATAATTTTATGTATATAATAGGCACCTTATATTGTTTATATCGAAGTTGTTCTTTGTGATAATGTATATGCATCTCCACTACCAATAAAACAAAATGAATCAAAATTACGTTCAACACGATCAGAAGAAAATCTTACAGATCATATAATTAATCATCAAACAACATCAGTTAGTGGAACAATTGGTGGTTATCTTAATTGTGAAACACAAAGTCTTGATTCAGAATTAATCGATTCATATCGATCATTTATTAACAGTGAAGATGCTGATATATGGTCAACAAGTGATGAAGTTACTGGTGATGAACAACAACAACAACAACAACAAACACAATCACCACCACCACTACCACCACAATCTGCATCAAGACGTAATGGTTTAATAGGTTATCGATCAAATCATACGATGAATATTAATCCTGAAACACAATCCATACGTTCAACAGAAAGTCATTTAAGTCAACAAGAAATTATGCCATCAGAAATTCGAAAACGATTAACTGAAGTGAAAACAACTGGACCGATTTTATTCGATGTAGATAAAAAAAAAGATTTTCCTTTTGTTTATTTATTTATTTATTTTTCTCGTAATAGCGTGATCCAGAGGATCCCTCCGCAGCTACATTAAAAGAACCATGGGATAAAAAAGAACAAAGAATTCGACAATCATCACCTTATGGTCATTTAAGAAATTGGAGACTTGTTGCAGCTATTGTTAAATGTGGTGATGATCTTCGTCATGAGCTACTTGCTTATCAATTTATGGTGCGATTAAAAGAAATTTGGGCAAACGAACATGTTCCGGTATTCGTACGTCCAATTAATATTCTTGTTTTATCAAATAATAGTGGTAAATAATCTATACATATAGTCTTTCCTTTCTTATTTTTTTTTTCATATAATTCAATATGAAATGATTCATTTTTTAGGTTTAATTGAACCAATTTTAAATGCAATATCACTTCATCAAATAAAAAAAAATTCAAAATTATCATTAAGAAATTATTTTCTACGTGAATTTGGTACAGAAAGAAGTGAAGAATTTTTAACAGCTGTTAAAAATTTTGTGCAAAGTTGTGCTGCTTATTCGATTGTTTGTTATTTATTACAAGTTAAAGATCGGTAAGAAATTATAGATGAGGATAAAATTAAAAACATTTTTGAGCTTGTTAAGATTAAAATTTTTACGTCCGAATCTGATAACTGCTTCGAAGGAGTGACATACTTGTTTTCGATTATTTGTATTCCAGAGTCTTACACATTGCTTCGGCAATTTGAAGGGTGATCTTTTAAGAATAAAGTTATAATTGATTGTTACTTTGAGAGTAGCATCGATCGGTTTGGTCCGGATCAATAGAAAATTCCTAGAATCGGATCCGGAATCTGCTCAACGCACTCTGCTGATCTTCTTCTTATGAGTAGGCAAAAGATGAATCAGTGTACGTTGAAATGCCTTCAGAGTTGGAACATTAATCTATTACATGATAATGAACTGAAACTCTGAGTACATATTGGCGATGTCTCGTCATACACAGAAAAAAATTTCAGTAAATCACTAAAGAAACCTCACTGCATATGTAAAATCTTGCTAGGAGCGTGTCATATCTCCACCATCATTCTGTATAGTATTTTAAAACATTCAGCAGAGCTAAGAAATTTTATAAGACGATGAATTTCGATAATGAAGACGTTCTTCTTCTTCAACAAAGAAGCAAACAAAAAAAAACACTGTGAGAGGCGCTGGTACCAAGTGTCTTTTTTAAATTAAAAAATTGGTCAAGTAATAGAATAGCATTGGAAATGTAAAGAGTCTCTCGAACAGTATTCTACATATGTAGTAAAATTACTCTGCTTTCGACCGATCAAAAGAAATAAGAGTACTAGAGACTTGCATTATCGTGAGTTTTATTCTTTGATATTCATTGTACAAATTGATGTATTTTGGAAACTCAATTCATGTTCACTCAGAGACGCGAAAAAGTCGAAGTCAAAGCTAATTCCAATTTCTTCTCATAGGTGTCGGTCTCGAATAGACACCAATCTAATTCCTAACTATATCAGTTTGTAGAATGAATACCAAAGACTTAAATCTCTTATATAAAATCTGATTGATTAGTAAGAGATTTAGTTGACTTCGATACAAGACTGAAATTTTGTGTGATGTCTTCATATAAAGTTCATAATAACATACGTACAATTTGTTCAATTAAAATATTGATAGAAACTAGAATGCATAGTTACTTTTATTCATCTTCATTCTAGACATAATGGAAATATTTTATTAGATGATGAAGGTCATGTTATTCATATTGATTTTGGTTATATGTTATCAGCAACACCGAAAAATCTCGGTTTTGAAAGTTCACCATTTAAAATAACACAAGAATTTGTTGATATTATGGGTGGATTACAAAGTGATATGTATAGTTATTATAAAATACTTATACTTCGTGGTTTATTAGCTGCTAGAAAACATATGGATAAATTAATGCCTATTGTAGAAATAATGCAACATGGTAAACAAAAATAAAAAACTGCACACGCACTCAACTAATATTTTATCTTTTTTTTCTTTTGTTTAAATTAGGTTCACAATTAAATTGTTTTTCAAAAGGAAATGTAACATTAGGTTTACGTGAAAGATTTCATTTAAATATGACAGATGAACAATTAGAATTTAATGTTGAAAAAATGGTTGAAAGTAGTTTGAATTCATTGACAACCAGAGTTTATGATACATTTCAATATTATACAAATGGTATAAGTAAATGACAAAATGAGATATATACATATAAAGATTTATCTATTTTTTCGCACCCATATTAAGTATCAAAAGAAACAAATAAACACCGGGCTGCTTTCCTTTTTTTTTATTGTTATATCCATGTTGTTGTTATTGATTTGTTTTTCTTCATTTTCTGTGTTTTCTCGTTGTTCTCTCTTTTCTCGTTCTCTTTTATCGGTTGTACAGCGAGAATTCATTTTACAAATACGGTTTTCTTTTTCTTAACTTCTATTTGAATGTTCCACTATATTTATTATGATGTTGACTCAAATTGGTTAAAGTGTGTGTGCATGCAACAGAGAAAATATCTTACACAAATTCCTTCTTCTTTATTTCGATTTTTTTTGTTGTTTATCCATTATTCGTGGAGTACACTGCGGACTTCTTTTTTTTCATTTTCTTTTCTTTCTGCAACAAAAGAAAAAAAGCTAATAAAATTATGCCTACTATCAGATTCTAGTGCTTATTGAAGCACATTCTAACTCACCCGAGAAGTTCCTCAACTGATTAGTCGATCTAGGATTGAAACTATGTGCAGCATCATGTAGAATCTAATAAGCTATGAATATCTTGAACAGAATTCGGACTTTTCACTTATGACTGTAGAGATCCTACAGCAATGCAGTATGTTTTAAATTAATGATGTGGTTCCCCTCAGGAAAACTTATTACCGAATTTCAAATTGAAACTTTCCATAGAAATAGAGCTTAGCGAGAATAATTTATTGTAAAAGTTTCAGGCCTTTTGATTTGTTCGAAGCTTTAACCATAGGTGTATCTTAGGATGAAAACAACGAAAAGATCTGAAAATTTCACAATAAACTATTGCCAGTAAGGACTGTTTCTGTGAAAAGTTTCAATTCGAAAATCAGTATTCCTGATCACGGTATTATGCCAAAAATTTCCGTAAAAATACAGTATCTTCGCAGCAATAAGTTAAGAGTTCAAAATTTTGTTTGGATATTCAGAACTCATTAAGATCTACATGATGCAAATAATCTCGACTGAAAAGCGATTAATTAGTTGAAAGCTTTTCTTACTCACCAATATCTTCATCATCAATGAAGGCGGTGTCTATGACGGATAATGTCGGAAAAAGAGTGTGAGTGTGGGTGCAGTTCTTCTTTAATCAACACCACAACCACACCCACACCCAGAATATAATCCTGATAGTAGGAGCTAAGCAGCCGGTTTAATTATTATTGAATTAAATAGTGCTTATTACCTGGTTATTATTATTATTATTATTATTGTATAAATAAAGCTATTCAGGTTTTATGTTAATGAAGTTGCATCGAATATATGATCTACCTTAGTTTAAGCGACATATGATAAAACCATTTGTGTAAAAAGAGTTCAATAATTAAAAACATGGTTCAACATAGAACTACTCTTAACACCCGAAACCATTTTATACTTGCTAGGATTCTTTAAATTATCTAGAACCTTTGATACTTCAGGAACAGTTAGATAGAACTCTAAAAAATTCAGCGTCTGTGCCAAAATTCAAAATGATTTCGTAAGACACTCGGTTTTTAGGAGACCAGAAATGTAGGAAAATGTTGAAAATAACTAGTTAACTTAAAATAAAACGGTCCATTATAATTCCTCTTGCACCAACACTTGTAAGATGCGTCTGTTTCTGTGCTTGTGTGCGTCCATATTTTCTTCCTCGTAAATACTAGAGGGTGGGGTGTAGGGTGTGGGTGTGGAAGACAGGAAGATTGACATCTACACCTACATCCAAACCCACATCCACACTCACACCCAAATCCACCCTGAAATATCTGGATTTGCATACGAACCTTGTTCGTATTATCGAGAAAAAAACCCATCTCACTAATTCATAATTTGAGCAATATTTATTTCAATTGTCAACTACGATTCTACAGAAAAAAACGATCAAAAAAAATAATGTAAGTATAAAATGAACCTATCTAAATAAGTTTTTCTTAGGTATCATGATTAATTAGGATACTGAAATTCTGTAGAGGCAACGTTTAGGACTTTAATGTGTACTTCCGTTTGCTCTTTAGTCATTGCAAATACTGTTGTTATTGTACTTGTTAGTGTTGCTTCTGTTGCAGTTGTTGTTGTCTGTGGTATCATCTGTGCAGAGCATCCTTGCTCATTCATCATTGACGGGGTTGTTTTTTGTTGACTTTTGCAGCAACGCCATCTGCCTTTGTAAAATATTGGAATGTTGTCGACAGTATAGATAGTATCTTTTGACGGATGACTCTTCCACTTTGATCTGAAGAAGTATTCATCAGGCTCTGATGATTGTAAACAGATAAGAACACAGTTAGATTTTCAAAAATTACATACACTACCTTTCAAGAAGAATACTTTACTTATTATATGTATGTAGGCTCGTTGTTCCCAGAATGTTTTCAGTTCTTCTTCCTCCTTCATAAGTAGTGATTCTTTAAATGAAATACCAGCGGCATGGGAATTGAGTAATGCTCTGACAAGCATTCTAGTTTCCATATCTATACTCTGTACAGTCTTTTCATTGACCTAATATTTATTGAGATGTTTATATAGAACGTAACATTTTACAATATTTTTCCGGAAAACTGTATACTTACAAATAGCTTGGATACTTGACCTGTAAGCAAATCTTTGCTGTTCGGAAATTCTTTCTCTTAAAACTTATCGAGCACGATATAGTATGTATCATCATTCAAATTATCACGCGACCACCACACCAACCACGATGATAATTCACAATACCCGATCAGTTTAACGTAAAAGTTGTTGTACTTAAATTCTTTTGTTTTTGTGAATTATCTGAATGGTTACCCCATAGGGAAACACATTTCCGAACTCTGTTTTACATATATGTGCCTGTATCGTCGATTAAAGTAAGAGTTAGTGATCATGTATGCGGTCGAAAGAACTCTTCGACTATCCATCTATTCATGTCGTTTTCTATTATATATTATAAAAATGAAAAAGAAAAAAAGCATGATGAGCACAAAAGGTATGAATTCCTACTGAGTTTTGTGATGCAGCCAGGAAATGAATCTGGCCAACAATACTCTTTGTCCAACGTGTACTGCGTCTGCTCTTTGAAAGCCAATAGCTGTTTATATAATTAGACATGCAGTTGAAAACTATTCATTAGAAAAAAAATTGATTTTATATTTCATCCTTTTTCCTGAAACTTAACAAACGATGAAAATTAGTTCAACATTTATATCTATATTTAAATATATAGAAATTTACCGTTTCAAGGTGGAAAAATACTTCACTGGTGCTTTCTTTTGAAAGATAAAGCAATACTTTGAAAACGCTTTTCCGCTTAATTTGAAGGCTTCCGAAGTTA